AAAAAAAAAAATTTTTTTCCTCATAAGATTTTACGATTTTTCTTTCTTTTTTTAAAGATGTTTACCTTACCATCATTTTGGAAATAATCATTAGTGCATTACTTCATCGTTTTTTCTTATTTCTAAGATTATTTCCAATTTTTTTTTTTTTAGTTGGGTTTAACAATAAAAAAAAACAGCTTTTTGTAGCAATTCAGAAAACCGGAAAAATCAGTTATCCGGAATAGTGATGGTCCCGACCGCTCCGGATAATCGGTTCCCTATTGTATATATATTATCTGGAATAGTGATGGTCCCGACCACTCCGGATAATCGGTTCCCTATTGTATATATATATGAAAAGTGATTACTCAAATTCGAAATTCATGCATCGTAATATGGTATTAAAAATCTATTTAAAAAAAATTCTTGCAGAATTCCGAAGCAATAATCATCGAGGTGATCGAGAAATGAAATAGGCTAACAATGGAATCTGTGCAGATTGAAGAAATTAAAAGCGAAGACTCAAACTTGCAATTTAAAATTTTCAAAATTTTTTATTGTTTAAGAAAAATAAAGTTCAGTGTGTTCAAAAACCATCTTGTAGGGTGCAGATTTTCCACCCAATTTACGATTAAAAAAAAAAAAAAAAACATCCCTAGGAGTACAGAAAAGTCTCCCAATAGTCTCCTTTTCCTGAAAATAGCTGCTTTTTTAGCCCTTTCAGGCAAAAAAAAGTTGCCATAGTCACCTCATGCCAAAAATAGTTGCAAATAGTTGCCTGTGGCAACCCTGTATCTATACCAAGTCCAAAAAAAAACTTTGAAAATTACATTTCTAAAAAATATTCTGACGAATATTTGACCAATCATTTAACCAACTGAATTTTTTACAAAAGGACCAAATACTTGTTACATCCTTAATTTAAATGCAATATGATAGCATCCTGAGAAATTCATAAGGTGGCAGAAAACGTGAAATTTTAAACTGCTCAATGTTTATAGTTTTGATTTAAATTTTTTGCTGCTTAAGTGATCTTTTTCGAAGAAAAAAACAATTTTTACTATATAGAAAAATCGAATAATTAATAAAATGAAATAATAAAGTACATTACCAAATAAGTATTGAATTTAATTTTGAACTATAACAGTTTTGTTTTTATTTTAGGCTCTTCTTTAAAACTTATAAATTTTCTTCAATTAAAATATTTAATTTGAATTTATATTACTTAATTATGTACTAAGTTTTTTCCTACTTTCATTCTGTGAGCATTGCATTTTTTTTATTAGAATTTATTTTTAAAATGAATTTTTGCATTGCGCGATTAAAAAAAAAAAAAAAAAACATTTCTTTTCTCCAATGTTTATTTATTTATTTTGATAAATCTATTGTTGATATAAAAATGGCAATTTTTTTTTGAAGTATTCATTTTTTTTTTATGAATGAATTCTAATAATTGAACGCCTTTAATTTTCTACAAATATAATATTAAGTTTATTGATAAAAAAATATTAGAACACTAATGCTTAAATAAATATTACCAGGGGTAGCAGCAAAGTTTTTTAAAATTTTAGGGTAATTTTAGGAACTTTTTTCAAAAAATTTTAGGTAAATTTTAGGGGTAATATATGATTTTGCTAGGATAAAAACAGATCACACGGTAGTTTATTACATAACAGAAGATTATTACAATTCATCCACACATATCATAAATAATTGCAAGCCATAAAATAAAGCTCTGAAATTTATTAAGTCAAGAATGAAATCTCTAAAGTGTAAAAATGAAATTTCAACTTTACATATTACCTATCAGAAATTAAGTGCATAATTCAGGAACAGGCAAAAGTGAGAATAAATCAAGAGAAAAAATAAATTAACACCAACTTGGATTTTTATTTAATTTTTACCTTCTTAATCAAAACTTTATTATTACCCTTTACCTTACTTTATTAAGAAAAACTATTGTGTGATATTATTAGATTTCAAATCAGCAATTTATATTAGAAGTTAGAGAAAAACAAATTAATCATGATCATTTTTCTAATATATTCTTGATATGATTTGTGAGATTCTTTTACTGCCCTCAATAGTGTTGTGGTGATCTTCAACACTCCTCCATAATTTCGAATGGTATCTTTGATTAGTCTAAGAGACATAATAGTATTCTCATGGTGACTCACATTAAGCATTGCTTTATTTATCGAAAAACCTCTCTCAGGATCAGAATTCCCATGTGGCAAAATTAAAACAGTTTTAATTAATGTAGTTAAATTCTTATATTTTAGATTATTGCTTTTTTATTTATATTTAGCCTATAACTCTAATTTTTTAGGAACACCAACAAAATTTTATCAGATTTTTAGGAATTTTAGGGTTTGCACATACTTTTAGGAATTTTATGAATTTTAGGGGGAATGCGACCCCTGTATTACTACATTTGCCGTTAACGTGTCGAAATACATGTGCGGTCCTTCGTTAGTCAACCTGCTGTGCAAGTGACCCTTCACTCAAAAAGGTTGTGCACCTCTGCTAATATCTAAGTTTTTAAATACAGTGGAAAGTCGCATATCCGGAATCGATGGGACTTTCGGAAGTCCGGATATTAGATTTTTCCTTATAATAGACCTCCAAGGTAAACAAAGCTTTAAATGATCTGAAACTAAGTAGCAAAAAAGAAACATTTTTTTCGGGCAATAATGTTTTAGTATTAGTATGACATCTTATCAATCAAAAACAAAATATTAGAAAAAAAGTAATTGCTTAAAATATAGAAAATGAAAACAACATTGACAGTTATGAAAATATTAATTGCTCTCTCCGCCATCTTGAACTAGAACGATTCCAGCAAGAAGGGGAAATTCCCGTCATTCATTAAGGTGGGCAGGTGGAGGAGAAAGATTCCTTTCCACCTTAATTGTCATTCAAGTTGAAGGCGGAGAAGTGACAAATTCTTATTTTCTCTCCCATCATTGGCTATCAATCAAGCATAAAGGTACGGCATGCTGATTGGGTTCTCTTTATTTTTTCTTGTGTGACTGAAAGTGACTCCCCTTCCACATTAACGTTTGCTGTGTTTACCTTTTTTTTCACAGTATTTCTTCTTTCCCTGACACTCTAATAAAAAGGTTCCAAGAAATGTCTCTTTAACTAGCCAGCTTAGGAAAGAAGGGGGAAGGGGATTCAGTTGTGCTCTTTTGACAACAAATCTCACTCCTTTCTTGAATTCCAGAGGAGGAGAGTCACTAACAGTCACTCGACTCTCTTCCCCTTTCTGTCTATTTATGGGTTCAATGCATAAATCACTAGAAGCTAGAAAAGGAAAAAACACGTCAAAAAACCTTTTTTTTGTTTTTTAAAAGAGGGGAAGATAAAGAGATGTTTATTTTGATTGTTAAAAAGTGTCGACCCTTCGAATTGACCCTTCCAGAAAAGGGACGTTACACTGTACATGTATTAAGTTATACAGTTAAGTTAAAGTGTGATAGGGTTCATACAGAGATCAGAAGAAGAAATCCAAGGAGTATCCAAGGAGTTCAAAATTTTAAGGACTTATCAAAAATTTAAAAATTTTGTGTAAAAGATAACTAGACAGTTTATTTTTTAAATTAAAAAGCAGTTATTACTAGAAACTAACAAAAATGTTTATTTTGCTTATTTTTTTCTAGTCCTTTCGAAATAAATTTTGTCATTGTCTAACTTCATCAAGAAAAATAAAATAAAGTCATCACTTTCACACATAAGTACATTTTCCAGTTTCAAATATTTTAATAAATCTTGTTAGAGTACAAAAGTTAAAGATTACCATAAAAAACTGACCAATCTTTCATTTTCAAAAAAATCTAAGGCACTTTATACACAAAAAAAAATTTAAAAAATAAAAATCAGGGTAAATTATTAATTAAGTTTGCTTGTAACAAGTAAAATTAAAATTATTTGCTGTTATTTTTTTCTTCTAACTCAAGCGATTCAATTTTGTTTTCTTTTAAAGTTTTTCTTAAACTATTATCTTTTGATAGCTAAGTCATAACATTTAGTTTCCCTGCTTGGACAACAAATTCATCAGTGGACTCAGTCAGTTCATCTATGCAATGCAATAAACTAAGGAGTTTCCAAGGACTAATTTGGAAATCTAAGTAGTTCCAAGTACTCCTTGGAGACTTTTTTATTTCCAAGGAGTTTCTAAGGAGTATAAAGAGTCTGTACGCACCCTGGATTAATTTTTTAACTAGTTAGTTTGAAGTATTTACTTTTGGATTTCCAGATACATTTCATAAAACAATGAAAAACTGAACAAGTAATCTGCATATAAATTGATACATAACACAAACCAAAAGATTATTGGTTTTCTAAAGAAAAACTTCTTGTTAAAAGTTCTACAGCAGTATTAAGTCATTTTTATGGCACCTTTGACAGCAAGACCCCTGAACTATTCAAGTAAAACTGCTAGTTAAACTTAATTAAACAAGCAAAAATTTAATTTTTAAAAGTAGTAGTTGTTAACAGTTTAAAAGTAGATGCGAGGAAATGTCAACAAGTACAAACATTTAACATACAAATTAACCACTTAATGACACATAAAAAATACATTTACTTACTGAACACTTATCACGCAACAGTTTGTGCATTTGTTGAATGCCATCCTCTGTTTGCCAACAGCTTTCAAAACTCCTAAAATAAAAATTAAAAAGAACTTCAGAAAATGAAACAATTTAATTAATATATATAGTCAAACCTCTATACCATGAAATAGAATTACACACCAAAATTTTCACGATATCGAAAAATTAGGATAACGAGTTTGATTCATTAGAATATTGGGCGAAGGTCGACGTTCAATATTTTGCAGAGTTTGAGATTGCTGACAGCATCACAGCTAAATCTACAATACTTTCTACAAAACAGCAATCGGCATAATTTTTTATAAAAATTAAAATGAGCATGAAAAGAGTAATACAAAAGAATAAACTTACTTTATATATAATTTTCTTGTGTAATTAAATATTATTTAGATCTTAAAAATATAATCTCTCCCTTTCATCCCTCTATAAATTATCCCCCTTTCACCTTTTAGGGGTCTATGAATAAATCAAGATTATTTTTAAAAACTATACATATACCAGACTATTTTTAAAAAATGCAAACAGACTAAAAAAATATAATTTGCTCTACTTAAGCTCAATAAAGGCAAATTTTATCATAATAAATAAAATACACTATTTTTAAACCTTTTGCACCGACTGTCCCATATATACATGTCAACATAAAATGCTTTCATCTCTCAGCCGACACATATTAGTAATAGTATTTAGGAATGTTTTAAAAATTATAACTTTTAGCACTAGATGGCATTGTATGTCCATAGAATTTGAGATACATGTAGATGTTGAATTCCAAGCCTAACAGAGGGGAAATCACATGAGTATTTTATTCTAAAATATGTATGAAATATTTCTGAAAACAAAAATTCTACTAGAATTTGCTTTAGGGTGCAATGTTAAATTAATTAGCATAAAACAATAAAAGAGCCTCATGATTAAATTGCACGTTAGTTAAAGGTAGTTGTAACAAAGGGGACAAATAAAATCCTATATTTTTGACATGCACTGTTATTTATGCTAAATTCTGTGATTTGGACCATCCTAAACATTATCCGTAATTTTTATTTTTTAAATTATCATACTTCAAGGTAAAATAAATTATTATAAGACTTTTAAAATTCAACCCCTTTTTTTTAAGTCCAAATAATGCATCGTAACAGAGAGGACATGGAATGTAACTGAGGGGATGTCTTACAAATTTGACAAAAAATTAAAGGAAAATAACATTGTTAAAAGTGACTCTTTGGTTATTTAAAGTTGGAGTTGGTAGCACTTCTATAATTGAAACCTGTGCTACATCTTTGTAGTTAGATTTGAAAGTTTTTATTTTACCAAACCCTGTTTAAAAAAAAAAAAAAAAAAAAAAAAAAAAAAAAAGAGTATGGGACAAAGAGGTGGAAAACCTGTGTTATGNAAAAAAAAAAAAAAAAAAAAAAAACAGTGCATTGTTTGTTTCTTTTTCAATTTCAGTTATTTGGTCAACAAAATTAACTACCCAATTTTTTCCTAGAACTTTTAGGCTGGCAAAACTATTTATAGCAACATCAAAATTATCCCAGTGTCTTAAATGGTGACTGGTGCACATTAAATATGTCGGGTCCCAAAGTCCTTCAAGTTCCCAAGACAAATCAATACTTCTAGGGGTACTGATTGAGGATTTTCCTTGTCTTTTGGATTGGGTTCAAAATTACAAGGCTACAGAGTCGAACATTGGCAGCCGCAAACTCAAATTTGGGTCGGCTGCTAAACGACGGTTATAAAATAAAAAGGCAATTGAGCGAATGTCGTAAGTTATTATATTTAGTAATTCTAGGTAATTATTAGGCAAACAACCGTGATTTTAATAGAAAATTCACATTTTCGTGAATAGCACATACACATTTTATATGGTGTTTTACCTACACATAAAATATGGATAGGTTGTAGTACAGCAAAATTTAGATTTGCCAATTTTTATGTTTGGATGCATCTGCTTTGACACTTGATATGCTTCCATCATGGTGCACATTTGGCTTTGTGTACTTTCTGTCCATTATCTTTGACAATCATGCACTTAGCTCTACCAGAAGTCCAGTAAGAAAGTTCATCAGAAGAGTAGAAATTCATAACAAGTTTTTTTTTTTTGTTTCATCAGAAACTTAGTTACAAGGCTATTTCTTTTGTTTTGGTAGTAAGGTTACAGAGTATGCATAGAACAGTACAATGTTTTCTTGGAGATATAGGTAATGCACAGTATGCTTTTTCAATAGCTTCCCCAATGCCTTCTTTTATCTCACTTTCGCATCCCTAAACAAACCAAGCAGATATTTCCAACCCAGGCAGACGATGCACCTGTAAGGTGTCAGTGGGATCAATACGCATTTTCTGTCAGAGGGAATGAGTAATTATTCATTATTGGTCAAAGGGTTGGACACTAATATGTGTTGATAAGGTCCTCATTTCAACTCCNTATATATATATATATATACAGTCAAACCCCGCTATAGGTTTATAGTGAACTCCCGGATATAGTGAACGAAATGTTCGGTCCCGTGCCTTGCTATACTCAGATAAGGTTATTTTTTGGGGATATAGTGAACCAAAAAAGTGAGGAAGTTGGATATAGTGAACTTATTTCTGTCTTCGACTGATTTTTTTAAAAAATAAATTGTGATAATTTTGAAATTTCTACTTCAAATTAAATACATATACCAACTTTCAAAACCAGGTTCACCAATCGAAGAAGTCGCAATCTTCCTGTATCTGGACAAATGTCGATGAATTTGAAGGTTCACTATAATTCCCTTGAAGGTTCACTATAGCGGGGTTGACTGTATAAACTAAACACACTATTAAATAAAAATTGTACAGCTTTGTATAAAAAGTGTGCTCTAATAGTGGAGGAACTGGTTTAAACTAGTTGAATCAAGATGCATTAACACATTTTTACATTCCTTGAGTTCCTTTCTAATGGTCAACCTATCAATTTTATGTAACTGAGGGGACAGTATATATTTGATATAATTTTTGTCTCAAAAATAAATTTAAAAAATTTTTTGATGGTAATCACTGCATAATTAGACTCAGGACTTACAATATAAATCAAACTATATGTAAAATCAAAACATTTTTATTAACTTATTCTTTTTTAAAATATACAGTTTTTATTTTGGTAGAATAAGTCAAAATCATGAACAACAAATTTCCTTTAAAATGATATCAAACATACAGGATATTGCTTAAACTTTAAAAATTCACTACTGGTTTCAGTTGACATGGAATTCAACAGATTTGATCTTCCACTAAAAATAAGAGACATATGATTCAGATGCACTTGGTTTATTATATAAACATGAGGAGAAAGAAAAGTTTTCAAACAGCATTGCAAAAACGGCTCTCTAAAATGAGCATGAGATATTTGTTTATAGTAAGCGGAGTTTTATTTTTGTTAGAGTGTTGTGTATTTGGGTTTACTCTTCAGTGTTCAATTGATAGTTAAATCCTGAAGACAACAAATTTTTCTGTTCTTACAGTTACAATGCGAAAGCATAAGGAAAGTTTAACTGAACTTGAAATAGCAAAAATTGAGCAAAGATGTACTTAAACAAGAAAAAACGTAAGTAAATAAAGCATATATATATAATATTTATTGGATATCTACTTTACAGTACATTAATAAACAGAGTGTTCATATTCAAGTGATTTTATTCTTAACAGCAAAAACCCTCTGGCCCTATACAGGCAAAAGTCACTCCAAGCCTCAATAAATAAGTATGTGTTTGCAACTCCCCTAACGAATGTGTAAATTTCAAAATTTCTTTGTTTAAAGTAAAATGTTTTAATAGCTTCAAGCATAATTTTATAAATGGAGAACTAAACAACTAATAATAGTTTGAGATCAATATATAGCAAATATTTAAAGTACTGCTACATTTAAAAAAAAATAACCAGTATCAAATAGCTTGTATTCTCTAATACCAATATTAATTAAAATTTTAATTGAGTTCAAAGACTTTTTTAATCAAATAATGTAAAGCTGAGCTTTAATAATCTAAAAACCAGATCACAGTGAATATGCAACTTAACATTTTTATACAAAGATAATTTAGTAGACTATCTTTGAATTTAACATTCAAAAACTCTATGGTATGATTAATGTTTTGTTGATTCGAATCAATAGTTTATAAAAATCAGATGAAAGAGATTAATCAATAATTGTGAAGTTACAAAACTCTACCTAACAAGATTAGTTATTAAATTAGCTGAAAATAATAAATAAGAGTATTAAAAATTTCAGAGTTTCCCTTGTTTTAAAAAAAAAAAAAAAAACTTAATTCCTGAAAGGTTACAGAAACAACGAAATCTGTGGGTAAAGCCACTTACCTGAACCATGTCTAAGGAGACAATTCCTAAGCTTGAGTTATCTGATTTTGCAATTTACACTAGCAATACTAATAAAATAAAAAGATGTAGGATTGAAAATCCAAATCTTTCCATTTTTCTAACACATTACTTTTAAGTTCGCGTGTATATTTGAAGAAAATGGGATATTTTCAGCAGATACAAAAAATCAGGAATATCAGGAAAAAAGCAAAAAATCTAGACAAATAAAGACAAAATATTTTTCAATCAGAAATATCATGAAAACTACAAATCCTGATCTAGTTAATTCTTGCCAAAATTTGTACATGCCTGGCGGAGCTTGTAAAAACTGCTTTCCCATGTAGAACTTTTATATGCCCCAACATGCACATTTATAGCCTTTATACATACTGATAAGCAAAGCAAAACAAAGACGTTAATAACACAAAAAAAATTATATTTGAGCAATCAAAGCTTTTATTTACAACTGATCAAACACCTGGACCAAAGGTAAGTATAGTTGTCATCTGATGTCTTTTTTTTTGCTGTTAATACTGGAAGATTTTTTTATGGTTTAGCTAGTTTTTATCTTTGAGGCGAAAATAAACCTGGTGTACTAGTTCTAGATTTTTTTTCTTCATTTAACCACAAAACTTACAAGTTATAACTTTTTCCTTTCATCTATGATATGGCATATTTGACACACTATAGTAAGTAAGCGGAATCACTGGTACAAGCTTATTAATTGCAATATACAGGGTATCTGCTACATTTCAGATTTTCAAATTCATGACTTTCCATGACTAATTCCAAGAACTTTTCATGACTTAATGAAGTTACTATTTTCTCTGACAATAACACAACAAAAAATTTAAAAATGCATTATAATAACATTAATTGAAATAATAGGTATATCCTTAACTGTTATACTCTGCATCTTCATATTTATAGATTTTAAATTTAAAAAACAGAGTAAAGAAAGAGCTGAAGCAATAAAATAGTAGAAAAAATACAGAAGCAAGTAATTTTTTTTTCTCCATGTCTTTCTATGATTTTTCATGACTTTCCAAGTGTGCAGATACCCTGAATAAAGCATATATTTTTAATTAGACAAACACCTTTAAGGTATATTACCAATATACCAATTTTCTTTTTGAAGTGAAGTTCCAGAGTTATGCCCTTTTGTTATTAGTATTTAAACTCCTGATGTTTTAATCCAAAAGGGAGGCCTTTCTAATGGTCCTTGATTATTTGTTGCCAGACCCACTTGGAAACTTCCTTTACACCAAAAATTATCAAAGAATGTCACTTAGTACCTTCATAGACAAAGATCTATGAAATTTAAAGACTTAGCGGAATAAATTAATAATTAAAGTTAAAATAAATTAAAGCAACATGAAATTTTCATTACAATTATTCAGCAGTCTGGGATTACAAATTGAAGCATTCTTATTCAAAGTAAAAGTTAAAAACTTTGATTAATTAACTATTTTAAATAACTTACCAAGCAATATTTAAAACAGAATCAAAAGTCTGAGAATTGACAAATGAACTGGCTAGGGACCCACTTCGGTATTTTGTTTTAGTGTCAATCAAGTTCAGCATAGACATTACTAGAGGTACAAACCTGTAACAAATTATACTTTCATGTATACTTTATGAATTCATATAAGTGAAAAAAAGTAATCAGTTTGTGTCATTCAAAATTATTTAATTTACTTTTAAATCTTTCTTAAAATACAAATATAGAAGAATTTTAAATTAAAAAAGTAATTCAAATAATTATTGTGTGTGTGTGTATATATATATATATATATA